TTTCTCTTCTTTTCTTGCTTTGGGTCTATAATCCTTTGAGTCCCAACTCCAGCTTTATTTAGTACTCCTTCCAGCGTTGCAAGATTTGGCTACTTTGCGCCAAATTTGGCTACCTTTTTATTAGTTTGGCGTAAAAAATATCATTTGACGCATTGGCTACTTTTTGGGTTACACATTATTTATATATTAGTTGAATAAAAATGCACTTTAAAATGATGTTTCATTACTTTTTATTAATTAAAGACCCAAATAAAACAAATATTTGTGTTTTTCAAATAAATTTTTGTTTATCTCCTTTATAATAAATGAATTTATTTATTTCTAAATAAAAATTGAAAGTGTCTGTAGAAGTAATTTTTTAAAATATCCTTATTCGTAATAAAGTTTTAATGCTTATTACTATAATCTGGACATGTTAGTTCTTAAATATACTTGTATATTTAAGGATTGGGCCAAAATATACTTGGGCCACAAGTATATATATTATACTTGTGGCCCAAAACTCCATGACTTCTTCCAATGTGGCCCAAAGAAACAAAAATGTTGGACACCCCTGTTTTAGATTATGTCTATTCAAAAAGGTTTGTTTTGCAGTATATATTATAAGGAAAAATCGTGAAAACTTCATTGTAAAATTGCAATGTGTTTAAAATTCTATTTATCAATATTTGGTAATTTTTCTTAATTTTTAAAATAAACATTAAAAAAAACAAAACAAAAAGTTATTGATGTTTCTTGTATGAAATATTAATAACTTTTTGTTTGTTTTTTTGTCTTTTCGTCCCTTAGAGCTCTAAGGGATCTTAGAGCTTCGCAACCAGTGTGCAGCGGCACAGTGCCTCCAAGAGGATGGGAAAAGCAGAGTTTTGGTGGGCACGCGAATATGATAAATACATGTTGATTCAAAACTGACTATTACAAGTTTGTTGACACTAACATTTGGGACAGAAAGAATTCTAACAAATCTCAAACTTTTACACCATTGCAAATCCTACATTTCCTAGAATTTTGTGGCACACCACAAATAAAAATATACAAAAAGTATAGTATTATGCACGCGTTTACTCACAAACTCGTCTTTAAAATGTGTCTCTTTTTATCTCTTGTAACTAAAAGTTTCTCTCTTCTATTTATTGAAAAACATCAAATGTTGATGATGATGAGTTACTTAAATTCTGTAGTTAAATAAATNTGTTGACACTAACATTTGGGACAGAAAGAATTCTAACAAATCTCAAACTTTTACACCATTGCAAATCCTACATTTCCTAGAATTTTGTGGCACACCACAAATAAAAATATACAAAAAGTATAGTATTATGCACGCGTTTACTCACAAACTCGTCTTTAAACAGAAAGAGTCATATTTTACAGAATGTGTACACGTGTATATTTGGTAAGTCGCGTGTTATAGTCGCCATCTCAATCTTTGTGAAGCTGCAAGTATATGTTATTACTGTCTTGTGCACTTACGACCATGGAGTCGAAATTCCGATCACGCACTTTTCATACTAGAACTGCGAGATACTTCGTCCGAGTTGAAATAAAATGGAAATAAGAAATAAGGAAATCGATTATAAACTAATTTCAAATATTTTTATATTATCACAAGAAAAATAAAAAAATAAATCAGTAATTTTTTGGTACGTACAGTACTTTGTACCTTCTATACTTTTTGTATATTTGTAATTGTGGTGTGCCACGAAATTTTGGGAAATATCTAGGTGCGTTAGTAAAAGTTGCGGAACACTGCCTTAGAATATAGACAAAACTGGAAACGGCATTCCCACCCCTTTACATTTACGGTTTCGGCCGAAATTAATTCAATAAGGCGATAGAGTGAAGACGTTTCGAATCGAATAAAATTTGTCTTACTGAATTAATTTCGATAGGAATCATTGCCGTTAAGAACCAACTATTAATGGGTAGTCCATCACGGATACGTTGAGCCCCATCTCTCAACACGCGGCCATCTCTATTGTAAGACTGACCGAATCAACGATGGGCATAGAAAAGTCCTTTCTTGATGTTCATTGGACAGAGAGTCAAAAATAAGAGAAAAGAAACGAGTATTAAAAGATAATTATATATTTTTTTAAATATTTAAATTAAATCATAAATATACATTTTAATAAAATCTATATCTTACAGAAATAATTTACATATCGGCCGCTATCAATTTATGACGCTTTAATATCACATATCTAAATACAGTATATTAAATTATGTGTGTATGTATGTAGACTATCATTACAGCTGTAATGATAGTCTACCGAACTTAATTTCGGATTAAAGAGACATACATACATAGATCATAATAACAGCTACCAAAAGTGATATTTAGAATTATATAAAATTACTTGTCCTGACTGATTGAATGACTGATTCATCATCGCCCAGAGCAAACCGCTGAACCTAAAGAGGTGAAATTTGGTACACAGTTAGGCTGTGTACACATTAGACGTTTTGAAACGCGCGCTTTGGTGACGCAAATTTTAAAGAACCAAGAGTTCCGTATAGATATACACAATCAAACGCGCGCTTCTGGCCAAGCGCGCGTCAAACAAGCGTTGATAGATTTTGGTTAGAACGCGCGTTTCGCGGGCGTCAGCCGCGCGCTTTGGGATACATTCCTGTCATGTCGTACATTCGATCGCGCGTTTTCGAATAGAATGGACGCTCGTTGGCCGAAATGGAGAACGATCATTTCGATACTGACCTATTTGTTGATGAAATCCAAAAGAGATCAGTTATCGTCAAATGATTTTATAGACATTCTAAAATAATTTAAAACCTTAGGTTCATATTGTCTTAGTTTTGGATACAACGTCACAAACATTCCATGCATCAGTCTATCTCGTAATATTGGGTGCACCCAAAATTCTCTTTGCATCTGCAATCGTCTTTTACAGCGACGATGGAGGAGGCACACACAAGCAATTACTTTCACGTCCATTTCCAAACTGAGCCAGTGCGAACGGTCGACGAAAGCCGAGCTAAATGCGCGGTGTGTACGCAGCTAACGCGCGTTTAACGCAACGCCCAACACTTAATGTGTACACAGCCTAAGGGTACGTCATGAAAACGCACACTAACAAGTAAGAAGGGATTTTTCGAAATTCCCCCGCGGGGGGAGAGGGAGAGAATTAAGGCTTAACGGGAAGAACGGCTTCTACTGTACTATTTTAGATGCGATTTTTTGTTTTCAACTACGTTTAGTCTTCATTGAGTACTTAGGTGTATTAAATTGATAACATTTCAGACATTGTTATAAATATTTTTATATTTCGATTTTAAAAATGTTCGAACCGTTTTAAATTCGAATTTGTTATTGCTTATTGGTTCGATTATAGAACGATTGTAAACGTTCCAGAAAATTGATGAAATTGAAAGTACAGTAATTCGTTTGATTCTCGGCAATTCTCAGCGGTAGGTGTTATATAACAATTACTATGGTCTATGGTTGTTGAAATATTGAATATAAGTGGGGTTTGCTTGCAAAATCCTCGCGGGCAAAGCCGAGGGTAACAGCTAGTAATAATATATATACGAAATATATAAATACATTTCTTTTTTTTAACAGTTTCCGCCTTGTGGGCACAAGAAGGCCTCTTTTAGCAAGCCAATTATGGGTTCGGTCATGCCCACAATGTGGAGGTAGGGTGGTTCCGACATATCCGGACCATCCACCCCCGAAAAATTCCTGGGGATTGTTCAATCCGTTCGGATTCGATCCCGAGTCCCCCAGAGCGGTAGGCTTAACCGCTCGGCCATCCGGCCGTCAATATATAAATACAGTAAATACAGTACAGTACTGTATTTGGAATGATCGTATGATGTCTACGATCATTCCATTTTCGGAAAAATATATTTTAATATTTAATATTTTTAATAAATATAAAAATTTTTATATAAAAATATTTGACATCAATGAAAAAATTTGTTGTAATAATAAAACTCGATTACGTTTAATACGCGATTAAAATATATTTAAATCGAAAATATATTGTAAAGCCATCTAGTGAGAGAAATTGGAAACAACGCCATTATTGCCGTCAAAATAAGGTGAGTATGGTGGGGGTTCTTACGGCAATTATTTCGCCAAAAAGTAGAAGAATTCAAACCAGAAGCGCGATTTTTATTAAGTCATCTTATTTCGATAGTTGCGAAACCATTAATTTTAATTGGATAATAATAATAATGAATTGTTCTTTTAAAATTAAAACAATACGTAATATATTTTAGGCTTAGACAAACGTGTTTATTATTCCATTTAAAACATAGACATTTAGGTTTAATTTTTTTTATTTTTATTTTTTTAATGAAAATTTTATCTAAAATTACAAAAATTTAATTAATAATTTTTATTTTTGTTTCTTTCTCGTATATTTTAAATTTATAAATAAATTATATGACGAGTACTTTGCCTCTTCGCTTCGTACCAAAAAAGCACGTGATAATTAAAAAATATGTCCATTTCATATTCAAATTTTTCATCAATTTCAGTCAATCCGATTTCGAAAAATAGTTTTTAACGGGAATATTATTGAATTTCTTTGTATTTTTTTAAAATTAAAGTGTCGGGAGATAATCGTTTTTGTATTAGAAAGATGATGGAATAACATTGAATGAGAAAATTAGACAATACGTTCTTTTAATAGTTTCTTTACTTTGTAATGCTTATCATTTTTTAAAGGATACACACAAAAGTTATCCAGTAATTAGATTTTAAATGGGTCATATTTTATAGTTGAAATGAATCTTCTGTCAATTCTTTGTTTTGGTTATTAAATTGTATTAGAAGGTTCATTTTTGATGTTTTATTAGTTTGTGTTCAATTAAAAGAATATTTATATATTTGAATTAGTTTTCACTCAAACATCTTGTTTTTAGCATGTTCTGTGACCAAAGATAGTGATTGATAAAATGAAATGTTTTATATTTATGTATTGCAAGTAGTAAACTGCAAATTGGAAGTTATGAACTAAAGTTAGCAATGCAGAAACTAGTGTTGTGGAAAGAAATTTTGTCTGAAGAAGTCGTCTATGTTGTATAATGTAATAAAAATGTTTTGGTTGTATAACAAAATGCACGATATATTGCTTTTGAATAAAGACAGTAAATTTATATTACTAAATGTCTAAAATGGAACTATTTCCGTTAAGTGTCAGAAATCGGGGTGTTATTACGTGGTATGGTTACCGTGTGAGACGTAAGACGACCGTTTCCGAACTTACAGAAATGGAGAACGGTGTGTTTGTGTTGACGGGCTACATTGTACTGGTGGATCTGGACAACTTTATCTGTTGTGTGTATTTTTTGGTGTCCCTAAATTACTTTTTATGCAGAGGAATTGGGGAACGAATTGATATATTTAAAACTAGAATAAAACTAATCTGCTTTGAGTAAAAATGTGTTGTATTATTTATTGAGTGACTTGTGTCGTAACGTGTTTTGGGCATGCTTATAACTTAAATGCAAATGCATTGTAATTCTAATATAATAATATAAATTTGAAGCTTATGGCATTATTTGTTATTAATTTTTGTCGTTTTAATAATTAACCTTTGTAACTATGAAACACTGTTAAAAACCATTCAATTATAAAAGACACTTTCCATGCTTTTCTGCATCATATCTTTATTAGAATGCATGTTTTTGGCCTCTTCTTGGGGTCTGTATCAGGTTGTAACGAATATCCAAATCAAATGTTTAACACATTAAGTGCCATGTGTTGCAAATATGCAACATGTGGCACTTATAAATAGAAATAATTTTCAAATAACTTTTTAATGAATAATTCCAAATAACATTTGATAACAATGGTTAAATGGTATTTCACAGGTTCTGTCATGTCAAAATTTTTATAAAAGTTTTGATATGACAGTATCTATCAATTTTGGTGGTATGCATTATAACCAGAGCCTTTCAGAGAAACTACAAGGCTCTGGCCAGCCATGAAGAAGGGGCAGGGTCTTTGACATCATCGGGTGTGCTAGTGCATGTTTGTTAGAGTTTTACTCTTGCAAAGCTGTAGTTTGTGATGGCTCTTAATATCATAAAACGCTGTTAGCACAGAACTGACTGAACAGGCCTCATTTTCCACTTTTATGCTCTTTTTGCTGGGGATGGGATTCAGAGATGGAGGAAGGGGTAACTTTTGAGTGTGGGTGTATGTAGTGATTGACCAGAACATTCCCTCCAGCATGGTGTTGGTCAGGGTGATATACTTCTAGCCAATCGGACTGGCTCATATATCTCAATCCTCTCTGACTCCTCCTACAGAAATTTAAAATTTAATTTTTTTATAGATGTTAATTAAAATTTAGCAAATCGCTTTGTCTTTCCTATATTTTTGTCTAACATATTGAGTTGCCAAGTTGAGGCCCCTAATATTGAGAGGACCAGGGCAGTTGCCCTGATTACAACCCCTGTAGTGCTGGCAAGCTGACAGTTTCAACTCTGCAAATGTATTGTGTGAATGATGCCAGTTAAAAAAAAATGCTAAATTTTCCAAACTTCCGGATGATAGAGCCAGTGATGCATTGTTCATTTCCGTTAGAAGCAGATTGAGTGTTGGGACCATTGTATATGGCAAATTGGTTTGTGTAGGTACGGGCTAAACCATGTACCAGGTCTCTTCTGTAGCCATGTTCTACCACTATATCTTCCTCTTTGATACGTTGTAGCTCAAGTATAGCATTGTGCTTATTGGTGTGATGAGTGTATACCTGTCTGGTTAGGGCACAGAAAGTGGCAATTTTATATGATGAGGGGTCAGACGAGTTTGCTGGGATGAATGGTGGTACATAACCTGGTTTGTAATACACACTGATTTCCACTCAGCCCCTGTTGAGCCAGAGTGGAAATGAGTTGTGTGCGGCATATTGGTTTAGCCTATGCCTATGCCTATGCCAACCAGTTTGCCACACACAACAGTCCCAACACCCAGTCTGCTTCTAACAGAAACAAACAACACATAACAGGCTCCAGGAGCACCATAGTACTGTTCAATCAACATTTCAAATCCTTATACAAAGAGATTGCAAGCCAGAGTAGCATAGAAATTGCATACAGGAGATTGGTACAATATACAAGTTGCTATGCGACGCAAAAGATAAAATGGATCAAACCATAGCCCCATTCTATACCTCTAAGAGACAATACATTCCAAAGGGACTTAGTCTATATTGGCTCAACCAAACGATCAATACGTAAAAGGATATGGGAACATCAATTCACCTTGCAAACAACAGTACCCACCCAGAAGTACATGTACATGTGGACCTCCAGAACGCCAAGTTAATCAGGCAGGACTTTCAAACATCATATTCATAGCCTGGAGGCATTGAAAATATATAAAGCCAGCCTAATTGGCAATTGTATTAACTTTAAGGACTGCAATACGGTGGCACATGCTTGGAAGAGTTGAGCAAAGATAACCCATAATAATTTCATCTTCTACAATATGTATGGCTTAAAAAATTGGTTTGAATCACATTTTTACAGTTTTAGTCAAACAACTGTATAAATTTGCCTTGTGATGAGATATTCAAAATTTTAAAATGTGATTTTCAAACATCATTGTTCTGACATTCGACATTGGAAATTCAGTTTTGTTAAAAATCCTGAGGCAGGCCTTGCTGAAGGTTGAAAATGTTTGAGTTTTCGTTGAAGTGCTGTTACTGGATAAAAGATTTCGTTCGTATTTAATTAATTACCCCAGTAATTTGAGAATAACAGTTACAGTATATATTTACTTTTAGCATTTCTTGTATTGGTTCAAATGCTACATGCTGTCTTTTTTCTTATATTCTTTGTTTGTTATACAGTTGTGCTTTAATATTTTAGTATGTAAATCAATTGTATGAAATGTTTTAATATTTTTTAAATTGCTAAGTATTCTTTCTGCAAAAGAACTTGAAAATGGCAAAATAAGCAGCAAAGAAAACAATTTTTGAGGCTTGGAAATATTGAGATGTTTGCTGCATTTTTAAGGCTGGAAATCAGATTAGTAAATTTTACATTATCTGTATCGAAATTTTCAGATAAAAGATTTCCATACTTATTCTGTTCTGTTGTATACTGAGGATGTTGGATTAAATGACTTTATAACCAAAATTCATTTCAAATCTGTTAGAAAAATTATGCTTTACAAACAGACAAGTAATGAAATAGTTGAGATAATTTTTTTAAATGTTTAACTTCAGAATAAATCCATTGTTACTTATTAATATTTAACTTTTGTTTGAAAATTTTCCAACTTTTGGCATTTTTCCAAACTTTGATTTATCCAGTTTCATTTTAAATTATTGCCATCTTTTAGATTATCTGAAAGTATAACAACTATATGCAAAACTTCAAAATGTTCATGAATATCAAACATGCTACATACTGCTCGTATCTACCAATGGCGTCATATGACAAATCTTATCGTTCATAAAGCAATAATCTGCATTCACAAATTCAAACTTAATTTACCTTTTATTTTTATATTAGCCTACTTATAAAAATCAATCCAAAAAATTATGCATTCATGAGACAACTTTCCCACATTTACAAAATATCTTAGCAGATTTTCACATGCAAGTCAATTTCTTGAAATATAAGAAATTTCTGTCCAATTGGCAACATTGACTATGTGCATCTTGTATCAGTGGCATTCTTTGTATAATATAATTTGCCATCTATTAATGAAATTTTTCTATATTATAAATGTTAATTTTTTATAGTTACTTTTTAAAATTTTAAATTAATTTATCAAAACAAACTATTTTGAAAGCACTGTGGAAATGCCCTACCTTGGTATTTACCCAGCTGAATGGTGCAAGTTCAGAAAAATGAACGTTTTTGGTCTTCTTCTAAGACCTGCTTCGGGTCTTAAATTTCAAATAGATAGAACTCGCTTCTTTAAAATGTATAAATTTTAAAGTGAGTGAGTGCATTTCACAAGCATGGCAGGCCCTGTTTGATATGTCATAATGAAAACTGTTTTATGATTTCTATATGTGAAAGCATCCTATTGGTTGATTTTAGAAGATTTTAAATTCAAATTTTCATATAAGCTCTTTAAAAATGCAGTAAGCTTATGTTACGTCTATACGACACTGGGCAATTTACAATTGGTAATGTTCAAGTGGGCAAATGTCAGTTTATATCTTTATTTGCTTTTTTATAAATATTGGTAAAATATATATAAATATAAATATGGTTAAGACTTACGAGGTATGAGTTATAAGTTATGAACTACAAATTACGAGTTATTTCCGACTTATTTCGGGTTGTTTGATAGATGAATAGGTTATAAATAGTTTTCTCATTAGAAAAATGATAATTTTTAAAATTAAAAGAATTATTTTAATTATAGTACTAGTAAATACCGCAGTTTTATTAATTTTGAAAATACTGTATGAATAAGACTAGATAGTTTTCCAGGATAGAAATTTAATCAAAATATTGAAGTCAAAAATAAGTGAGATGAATTATTTGAAACTGTTGAATGCTTGTAGGAAACAATCTTTTACTGTAATCATTTTAAATCATAATATCATGATAAACTGCTAGAAAAACAAAATACGAATAAGTATCAAAAATAAATTAATGGATCCAGAATCGACAGATAACATTGCAAAGAATGAATAGCCATTTTTATTAATAAATTTTATTATTTGTTAATGGAATGTTCTCATTTCTCATTTGATTAGGGAGTCTTCTTTTTAAGAAGATATCATTGTTGTTCTGAAGCAATATATTATCTGCTTGATGATGATATTTCTTCAGGCTGTAAAATTAATTATGCTTCTGTTAGTTGGAGAACTTGCTTATTCTGCATGATTAAGCTGTAAAAGTACACTAACATATCTACTGTCATTTTGTATACCTCTCTATTCAAGAGTTGCCTTCTTATTTTTATTTTGATGATATGAAACCGTGCTTTGCTATTTGTTTATGCTTCTGACACAATATAGTGCTATAAATTAAGACACTTGGCGGATTTTCTCATCTTTATTTAGTTGATACGTGTGGAAAAAATTACACGTTTCGAGCTCTTAAGCCCCTCTTCAGTCAACTAAAACATTTAAAAAGGATATAACATACACATAAAAAGGAATACACAAGTTTTGTAAAATTTTTAAAAAATAAAACATACCTATCCATACAGGTTTTATAAATTAAAGTAGCAGTTTACTTTCGATATTTTTTCAGCAACATCAGCTTATTCACAGTATTTTTTCTTGTAGCCTACTATAATATTAGGAGAGTATACAACGTATCTATATAAAACTATACATAAGTTTTATAGTATCTATAAAACTATATTTAATTAAGGCATACCTTGAGTACGGCTGTTATTAANATCATATATTGTAAAAATATAGTAGATGTCAGATATGTAAATTTATATTGTAGAAGTTATGTAAATTCGTATTATATTGTCAATGCTTATCAAAGGAAATAAGGATTTAGTAAAACAGATTTATGAGTAAAAAGCATAATCAATTGTATACCAATTTGATAATTGTTGTCTAAGGTATATTTTAGACCAAGGATTTTGTAAGACTGTTTTATAAGTAAAAGGTATAATCAATTTTGTACAGTACAACCTTAATAACAGCCGTACTCAAGGTATGCCTTAATTAAATATAGTTTTATAGATACTATAAAACTTATGTATAGTTTTATATAGATACGTTGTATACTCTCCTAATATTATAGTAGGCTACAAGAAAAAATACTGTGAATAAGCTGATGTTGCTGAAAAAATATCGAAAGTAAACTGCTACTTTAATTTATAAAACCTGTATGGATAGGTATGTTTTATTTTTTAAAAATTTTACAAAACTTGTGTATTCCTTTTTATGTGTATGTTATATCCTTTTTAAATGTTTTAGTTGACTGAAGAGGGGCTTAAGAGCTCGAAACGTGTAATTTTTTCCACACGTATCAACTAAATAAAGATGAGAAAATCCGCCAAGTGTCTTAATTTATAGCACTATATTGTGTCAGAAGCATAAACATTCTTATTTTTAATTTTTTTATTCATTCCTATGTCTTCTAATGTGTGTTGCTATACACTCTTCCTATCAGATCATCTTTATAATCATTTGATTTAAACATGATTGTTTAAAATGATTTAACATGTTATAACTTCTTTATTTAACTTTGGCCATTAAATAAAAGTTTATTGTAATTGGTTTTAAGCTAATGTTATTTAATAATTTTTTCAATGCTTGTTTACATAAGTTTAAGGGTCAGTTTACAGTCCATTGTTATGACAGTACAGCTTGCTGAGTTCCTCTCTGTTCACTGTTCTCTACCCTGCTATCCTGGACATCGAACTATAGAGGCACACTTCTGGTCTAGCAATGCAACTCCAATGCCAATGACATGCTTTGCAGAGTTAGCTGCTGGTCAGAATTTGACTATAAACTGGATGATGATTGGCAACTCAGAGATGGCTAGTGACCTTGAAAATCTACACTGCTATTGGACTATAAACCAATTTTAAATTAATTGTTTATACAGTATTTAATTTTTTTTGGAAACTTTCAATAATAACAACATAAGAATTATTATTGTGGCTATGTAAATATAATAATTATTGATTACTGTACCAAGTGCTCTACTGGATTATAGCTACTAAAACATTTTTTAGAAGCTATGATTCAGTAATATTAGTTTATATATCTGTGATTCTGTGATATTGTTTATGTATCTGTGCTCACAGTGTTCCTGATTGTTACATGTATTTAATATGTTCATGACAGAAAAAGTTTCTTTATTCTCTTCTGAAACATACAGTATATACTACTTGTTAGATTTGGTACATTAAAATTGGTTTTACAGTATTAGGATATTATTTATGGTGAATTAGATTATAATTATTTATTTTTTGTTTGTTTTTGGATGTCTGTAAGTGATATATAATGGTTTATTATAATTCATTCTAAATTTCATCCTTTTTGCAACTTGTGACTCACATCAAAAGAAGACAGTATTTTGAACAAGCTTTTGGAAGGTGTTGTGAAGTCTGAGTCATTCATGTCAAGATTACTAGAAAAGAAATAATGTTGTAGTTTTAAAATGCAATAATTTCTGGTCTCCTAGCTAGAGTTAAATGTATTTAAATAAATAGTATTGAATTAGAGAAATAGTAATTATTTTTAGAAATAATAAACCTCAATTATTTGAATCACTGAATTGAGATGACAAATAATGATCTCCTTTTTCTTATTTGCCACTGACCACTGCAACCTTAAGTAAAAATTCTCATTTATTTAGATCTCAGTGGTTAGTGGCAAATAAGAAGAAAAAAGAGTTCATTATTTGTCATCTCAATTCAGTGATTCAAATAATTAAAAGAAGTCGCCCCTCATAGGTTTACAATAATATTTGCTATTGCAAATTATTAGTAATAAAACCTTAAATTCTAAAATTTTTTCCGAAAAATATTGAGATCATTTAGAATGTATTCTAAAGTATTTGGAATCATTTACACCCTATTTTCTTTTATAATTTTCTTTAATTATTGCTGGTTTAAAAGATGCTTTGTAAGTAAATTAACTATTTATTTATATCATTTTATTTTATAAATTTCAATTAATCATTAGTTAATGTTTTTTCTACTTTCAGTTTATGTACAAAAGTAATTTATTTCATATTGCCTGAAAATTTTTATAATGGGAAAATGGACCAAGTATTTGAGAAAATATTGTATTGAATGGGAAAACGATCCTGAACTGAAAGGTAAATGAAAAAAATGTTAATAATTGTTCAAATTAGTTTTATCATATTACCATTTAAAAAACAAGCAATTTTGTACAAAAATATGTTTGTTAAGTTATTCATTTTTATGATACATATAGAGATTCATTCAGCTATTTTAGTTTTCTGTTTTCAAAATTTAATATCCAATATGGTTGACCATTTTGAGAGTAAAAAGATAGTTGCATAAGGAATTGTCTGATGTTTTCAGGTTGGTTAAATAACTTTTATAGACTATCCTTACTTAAGCTAGGTTTGCATTGGTATACAAACTGCTATAAAGAAACAAAACAAACACTAACTAAAGCAATATGTTGTTTGCATTGTACTATGTGACACAAACTAAGTTAGAATGTGATTGGTTGAAAATATTTGTTTACACTCCCCCAATTTTTAAGAATTTCCCTCAAATTTAATGTTATTTTTAAGTAATTGAGGAAATTTTACTTGTTATTAAACAATGATACTTCTTATAGGTTAATTTAAACTTAATGTAATCAGTTTAGAAATACATTATAATACTGTTAATGAACTATTATTATTGTATTGCTATATATTTTGTTATTATATGTTGTTTTAATTGGAAGTTAGGAGGATTTATTGTATACTAGCAGATAAAAAGTAACGATAGCAAAGATTAAGATTATTACATTACAGCCAATCTTACCCGTTTTCACAGAATGCAAGAATTAGGTTCCCCTGTTTCCAGACTAATTAGAAAATTTTTAGATGGGTCTAAAATTATGTTCAACTTAACGCAAAAAACCACATCTCCACCTGTAAATATTGCACATTGCTTTCTCTTAACACTTTCATTGTTACTTAACATGTCCATTGTTGAATCCTGTCCCTTTCCCCACCAGGGGGATTTCAAAAAATCCCTTGTTAGTGTGTGTTCTCGTGACGTACCCTAACTGTGTACCAAATTTCAAGTTTCAACTCCTAACTGTGCTGAAATGCTCACAATGAAATGCTTGTATACATGCACACCATCTATTGTAGGATAAATGTACTATGCCAGAAAACTTTGCGAGAGTATATTAAACAACTTCCCAAAATTTCATGGCAATTGGATAAATGGTGTAGTAATGCATGAAGGACAGACAGACATACATTCATTTTTATATATATAGATAAGAATTTTATTCAAGACAATAATCTGGTTGACAACATTGATTACAAAGTTGACACTGACATAGATATAAGACTGACACACACAAAACAGATGATTACAAAGTATTATATAAGTCAAAGTTTTTTTTTTTTTTTGCTTAACTTTTAAGATTTATAAATTTCAGATAAAGTTATAAATGACTTCTACATCTTGCCAAATTGAAATAACTAAATGAACTGTAATAACTTTACTTCATCTTAATTTGAAAAACAAATTTAAATAAATGAGTGTGGCTGAAATCACTTTTTCAAAGATGTCTATGAGAAAACAATTATAACAATTCGATTTAAAAAATGAGCATACAGGATCATCTATCTTTTAATTTTCTGAGGATGACTTTAATTGTATTTGATGATTAGCACTTTGTAGGACCATATCTGAAGAAACACAATGCAACTGAGAATACCTATCTCTGAAGGTCAGTGTTTGGCCATTACATTAAAGTAAAAATAAATTTATATGTTAAGTTATTTTCTTCAAAATTAACTTGAGACTAAATACAGTATAGATCTTATTAATTATGTAATGAAGTCTCATTTAATCCAAGTAAAACAGAGACTATGACAGATAAAATTGCCTTTTATTGAAAATTTTGGATTTTGTTCATGCCAACCCCTCTTCAGGCTCTTTGGATTTTTCTTTGTTTTTTTAAAATCTTTTTAAAAAATTCCTCTTTAAAAAAATATAAAAATAGGATTCAATGAAATTTCATTACATAAGATTTACATTTAGCTTCAAATTAATTTTGAAAAAAATAACTTAACATAGACTCAACATCCAAGCCATAAATCTAAAGATTAATGGAATAAATTTATAGTTTATGTTAAATATTGTTACAAAACTTGCTTATATTTAGTTTTTGCAATATAGATATTTAACATCTGTGATACAAATATCACTATCATGCAGTGTTAGAATGGGTTAGTCAACAATTTATCAGATAATTGAAGAAGTCTGTAATGCAATGTAACAAGTACTTAGTAAGATATATTTATTGTTCCCTTCAAAAATGACAGCATATATATCCAGAGAATTCTGGAAAAGATGGAACTTTTTTAAACTGTATTGGAGCAATAGATGTAAAGCATGTTGTGATTCAGGCTCCTGCCAGTTTGGTTCAGAATATTTTAATTACAAAAAAAAGTATTTAGTACTGTTGTCTTGGACTGGGTAGCATAACTCACAGTAAGCAGCCATTGCGGGTTTTTGAGTTCTGTTCTGGACCAATTCTTTTCTTCCAGAATTTTCAAAATTGTTTAATAAATGCTAATTTAATTATAATTATTAAATTTATTAAGAGATGACGCCTAATGCTTACCTCTAGTGCCAAATTATTTGGTACTTAATAATTATTAGTAGCAGCAGTGTAGACCAATTTAGTCTGGTAATTGTTTGCTTTACTATTAGCATAAACAACATATAATCTCTTACAGCAGTTTAAAACTTTTTAATAGTTTATGCTTAAATTACTATCAAAAATATTTAAAACTACAGTTTTAAAGTATAATTTTAATGTAACTAATGACATTTTGTTTTGTGATACATAGATTGGTTGAGACCTGTTCCCGGAGATGTTACTAGAGCTTTCTGCAGATTTTGTAAAGCTATTCTTCGTGCTCACCATTCCGATCTTTTAGTTCATACACACACAAGGAAACATGTAAGAAACACATCAATTTTTCTTACTTCTTGTAGATTTAGAGATGCTACAGAAGCCACCGATGAGGTTGCAGGTATGTGCATAAATATTTAACTAATAATTTTTTGATAATAAAATAAATAGATTTTCTTATTATATCAAAGAAAAAATAATAATTAAACTTTATACTGTTTTCTTTGAAATAGATGATAATTCAGACACTCATCTCTGTGGCCGATGTGGAACTCGGTTCAAAAGTTTATCAACTTTCATTCATCATAAAGTAGAAGAAGGTTATAGACTATTTTACTCGCCATCTGAAAGAAACCAAACATTAATTCTTCCGCATTTACTAGAGGAACGAAGTGGCACCGTTGATAATAATAATTCATTATTTTCTGGAAATGCAAGTGAAGTGCCTAGTTCAAATGTAACATCTGTTTCTATGACAATTGCTTCACTTCCTGAACAATATTCTGATAATGAGAATGATATTGAAATTAATAATAAAAATGTAGATGATGATTGTCAGGAGACCACAGAATTTACTGGTAAGATAATCTAAAAATTATTATTTAATTTTAATACTAATAAATAAATTATCATAAAATATTTTAAGATTTAAATTTATTATCATTATTACATCTTTAGTAATATAATTTCTGTATAATTTTGTATTCTGCAATATTTTTAAAAAATTATCCCATATTATTAAGAAAAGCCAGTTCTATATTGAATAGATAAAACTATAAAAGTATATTTATTTATTAAGTCAATAATCTTTTATGTCTAAGTCCAATGCATGTAACTGTAGCAGAATCCAGCACAAATTATACCTACTAAAAATAATGAAAACCAAACATTTTCAACAATTTCTAAATCATCATCTTTAAGTTAGTCAGTCAAACATCAATGTGAAAATTTGAATGTCTAAAAAATGCATGAAGCAATCATTTTATTTGTTGGAAAACACCAATGTCATTATTTTTTAAGTAATAAGATTTAATTGTACTTCAAAAATAGACCTCCATGCTTTGGAGAATGTATCTACATCTCTGTAATTTATTGCCATGTCCCAAAAATTAGCTTTGTATATTTCAAGAATCCTAGATGTTTCAGATAAGTCCAGTTCCTACTAGAGTGTATTAATCTTGTTTCATTGAGAAGTACCATTATTTTGTTTTCAGATGCAAATGTTACTAATGTTGTGTCATGGGAAGGCCCTTTTGGGTAGAATAATGGGGCTCCTTGATATGCTTGTAAAAAGATCAAGCTGTTGCTCCTATGTAGACCCATTTCATGTTGAATCCGTTGTTTATAATGGGGATAGAATATAACCCAGATGAATTGTTTGTGTTGGCATTCTGTAATAAAGAGAATATAGTTGGGTTTCACATATAGGAGATACTAAGTTGGTTTGTTCTTGCAATTTGTTTCTATATATAGAAAGATATTGGTTAAACCTGATGACTTTATGGGTTTTAGATTCATCCTTCTTAGATGTGTAACCAGTTTGATGTTTATAGATGAGATTCTGGAAGAGATTGGAAGGATACCCATGTTGTTTTGCTCTGCTTGCAATATAGATTAGTTCTATCTCTCTGTCAATGATGTTGGTGCAATGAGTGAAAACTTTTTTGACTAGGGTTTGTAGGTCAACATTTTAAATATATATATATATATACTGATCTATAGATTTTGTTGGAATGACTAATGGTTTATACTCCAGTTTTCTACAAACTTTAGTTGAAATGTGGCCATCTTTGAGTGTAAGAAGGATGTCCAGGAAATGAACTTGGTGGTAGCTTTCTTGCTTAACACAGAGGTTAAGACCTTAGGGGTGGTTGTTGATGACTTTTAAGAACTGGTTTAAATCAGGTTTCTGTCACCAGATTATGAGAACATCATCAACATCGGGTGTACAGAACGATTTGATCATTGAAAATGTGAGCACTTCTTTCTCAAGGCGATGGAGAACTAGTTCACACAGGATGCCCACATACCAGACTGCCCATTGGGACACCTCTGATTTGCAGGTACATTTGCCCCTGAAATTGGAAGAATGAAGAATAACAAATAATGTCTACTAACTTCAAGATGTTTTGATGGGGTTTCTACGACTCAAAAGTATGTGTTATTAGGAAATCCTGAAGTTTGCAAAAACAAGATTTAATCTTGATTGAAGGGAAGAGAGATTCAAAATCACAAATGATAAATTCCTCGTTGATTAAGAAAATATTGTCTAAATGTTACAACATTTATGCCTACAACTAGAATTAAAATATTTCATTTTAAGACAGTTTCTTCTATCAATTCTTTCCAGATTAATTCATAAAACTTTTTTTACTGTATAGGTGTCCCTTATTAAATTTTGAAATAATAATTAACCAACAAATAATTTTGGGTCAGTTTAAAGTTAGTTTATTTATTTTAACATTCCAACCAGATATAGATAATTCACAACATGAAGATACAAACAGTTCTTCATTAAAAACCAATTATTTGTTGATCATTATTATTTGAAAATTTAATAAAAATAAATTAATTCTTAGGACTTTAAAATTCATCTAAGTGTACCTTACTTTAATTATGGTGTGTTTGTTTTACAGCATTTTATTAATACACTGCTTTTCAATTGTATTCATGTGTATTATTTTTGCAACTTGTCTTATTCTTAAGTGGGCTTTCAGTAATTTTTATTTATTATTTTTACTTTTGCATTATATTTTACGTGTGGCACTATTAGACACTTAATAAGTAATAGTGTAAATATGTTTTTTAGCCTTTTATTTACACTGGTGAGTGAAAAAATGCTGTTTTTCATTTTTAAGGTAATACAGTGGGTGATCGGTTAACGAACAATTCGGATAACAAACACTTTCGCGAAAGATTTTTATGATCGGACAACGAACACATGTTCGAATAACGAACATTTTACTGAACAAACATAAAAAGAAGCGACGGAAAATAACGAATACCGATTGACTTTCCCTTGTCTTCAGGTAACAATTCAAAACTTTTCGGAGCACGGGAGACGTCAGCATTGATGCTCAACCCGATACCAATCGGATGGTATAATATTCCTCCGAATTTTGAAACTCTCCCTTGTAATTCCAGCTTTTTGTTTACATTTCTGACAAAAAATTTTTTATAGTCTTTGCAAGACTGTCAGACGGGCACTTGTTAAGTTTTGCGTCGGATTTTATTTACGAAAGGTGAAAGTTTAACTATCCCATTAGATATTTGTTAACATTTTAACACCAAATTTCAAATTTTATCCGGGCCTTGCATTTAAATAATTTTTTGTGGGCTAGTCGATTTCTGTTCTCTGAATTTTTGTACATGCTTTTCTGAACTTTTTATTTAAAAAAGTAACTGATAATATTATGGAGCCTAAAAAGAGGAGTGTCAACAACTGTGCTCACCATAGAAACCAAGTAAGAGATAATAGCCAAGATAGAAAGTAGGCAAAAGATGTCTGATGTTGCTAGGCAGTATGGCTTGAACAGGTCTACAGTAGGCACAATCTTAGCTATGAAAGATATATCAAGAAGTCTCAAGCTGCTAATGGAGTAATGAAACTCACATCTGAGAAATAAAGAGCATTAGAACTCACAATGGAACCTGAAACTGATCTGACGACAGAAGAACTCCAAGAACTCTCAAATGAACAGCACCAAGAAACTCAGCGAGATGTGTTTTCTTTTGAAAATGAGGAAGATGAAAGAGGACCAATGTCGACATCTGCTACTAAAGATCTTTTGAAGAAGTAGGAGGATGTCAGAACAACGATCATCCAAGTGGCATCCAAACCAGAATAAGGTTAATGGGGTTGGAAACCTCTACAATTACAATACTATTAATTACTTCCGAAAAATCCTGAAGAAATGAGAAAAGTAATCAACATTGGACAGGTTCTTTAACCCCCACAAACGGAAAAAACATGACTAATAAAAATGCAAGACTGCATATATGTGTATCTTTACTATTAAATATAAATAAACGTAATAAAAAAGTATATATATTTTTTTATTTTTTGGAGTCTCTGGAACGAATTAATCAAATTCCCATAAAAACCTACGGTAAATCGATAATCGGTTAACGAACAAAGTTTAGGGACGGATTATGTTCGTTAACCGATCACCCACTGTATTTGCTTTACAGTAGTAGTCTGAAGCTTAACCTGCCATATTAGCAAGATATGCCTATAATTAGTAATACTGAGAATATAAACGCATATGTATATCGCAGCCAGATTGTTAATTTAGTCCCTTTACAAAGCGTCTAGCTATTTGATTAAATGGCGCCATTTTATAAAAAAGCTAACTAACCTTCAGCCACTTTACAAAGAGGCTAAACCAAATCTCACCAGATAGAATGACATTTCAAATTCTACAATACAACTGGTCAAATGATTAGCTGCTTTACAATGCAGCATTAGATAAACTGCCAGATTTGTAGTATTTACTGATTCTTACCATATGAATGTCTGTTGGCATATAGTGCCAGCAGACATTCATTGATGTGGCCTCATCTAGTATGTCTGTTTAGCTAAAATTAGTTAATATTAGATATTACAATAAATAATGAGTGTGAAAAATTTATGAGTATATGGGTTTAAAGATAATTTCAACAAACAACTAATGGAGTTCTATGCAAAACAGCTTGGAAATTTAAATGAACCATGGATTAGAGAAAGAGTTTTTGAGATTATTAGACATAAAAAATGGTAAGATGGCTAAAGATTCCGATGCACAGCAGATGTCTATTGATTATTATTGGTATTCAAAGTATGATGTCATAAATACAGCCAATGAAGATTATCTCATTTTTGTGGGGTTTTGAGAAGCTTAGACATCACTATGGAGTTGAGGAGTTGTTGGCCCCAATGTGGGCACCACTTGTGGGTCTGCGAAGTGAGGAGGTATCGACCTTTCAGTTAGAGGAGGACATGCTCGCTTTTCCTGTGATCTGTCAGGATGACTCGAGAAAGCCCTTTTCATATGGGGTAGTGATTTGCTGGATGCAAAGAGACTCACACAGAGACCGTAATTATAATTACACTTGAATGTGTTTATTTGACAAAGACCTCATGCTTACAGATCGGGCCAAAAGATGTCCAGTCGCTGTATGTATTCCTCCTAAGGTTCCAAGTGATGTTTCCCACCAGCAATTATTCGTTGGCTGTATGTTTCTCTCAGGGCTGCAGAGTCGGTAAAAAAACACCCGACTCCGACTCCGGATAATTTTAGTAGGCCGACTCCAACTCCGACTCCCGACTCCGACAAAATTAAATACAAAGTCATTATATGGGAGCAGAAACGCTCATAGAGAGGTACCCTTCTCTGAACTGTGAAAGGAGCCCCTGGTGTTTACCCACAACATGAAGATACAAACAGTTCTTCATTAAAAACCGACATTATGATATTAAAAAAACACAAATACACTATACATTTGATGCCGACCTTTTCTTTGAGGATCCGACATCAATGACACAGTATTAAAAACTTATCTTAAAACATCACTTAGGTCATTATATGTGGTACTTATG